ATAATTGGTACATATTTTTAATGGGCTGGATCTGAACTTTGAAATATCCGGCCCAGCCCGGCCCATGCGGAACCCTAGCCATTGCCAATTAGATAGTTACCAATTTTACTAGTCGAGTAGGAACGTCCGAGTATGCCCCGAGTTTGTAGATCGTTACACAAACTATTCAATTGATTCGGAATTTTTTTATACGCTTTACAATACTTTTTTCGGAAGCTCGGGTAGATTATCTCTTGTGACCCAGCCAAGCGTACTAAGTGAACTTGAAGCTTTCGTTCCGAACTAAAATAATATCAACTTAATCATTCTAAATCATTCGACCTTCGTATTAAAATTTACCTACCGAAGTTATAAGTAAATTACAATCACTACGTTGACTAAATCTTTTTTGTTGAACAAAAAAAACGTAAAAAAAAGCTTAAAATAATGATCAATAACGTTTGTATAGGAGGAAGAAATTAGTTTGTATATGTTTTATTATACGTGTTGCATAGAAATCCTTTAGAAATTAAAAGTATATGAATAATGTTAATTAACCGTGCGAGTTATTAATAATATTATTATTACAGGTGCTTTTATAATACGATAAGAAGTTTATATATGAGATGTATTAAAGTCGCAAAGGTTTTTCATTAGAATGATAGTTGTGTAAGATAGCATAGTATAAGATATTAGAAATTTGAGTAGATGTAGAATTAAATGTAGGATTAGATATAGAATTAGACGTATAATATTATTAAGATTTTGTAAACAAATGAAAATAAATGCTATGTTTAAATTAATAAATACATGCTTGCTTACCTAACAGTAACATTTAGCGGCAATTATTTTGAATTTTAGCTATAAATTTTAATTAAATTTCGGTTCTTTTCATTTTATAAAATTTTACGATTTGATTGGCTAATCAACATGTGATAATTTCACATGATAAAAATTTACGATTTTAATTGGCTAAACTAATATCCAAGATCGGGATCATCATCTCCTTATTTGGGACGTTCCTACCTCTAACTCTAGCGCTAGTACGTACGTACGTACCCGGCTTTCAGCCATTCCCTAAAAATGGAAATATCTGCAAAAAACAACGCCAAGATACGTAGCATTTTTTAAATGCTGAAATAACAAAATAAGCAAATTTATAAGAACAATATGCAAACTCAAATCTGACTATCTATGAATATTTCGAGCCCTTATTATTCGTTCGTTTAAAAGGATGATGTGATACCATGGTATTTACACTCCGATTGACTGTGTAATGTAACAGAAATGTTTGTGCATTGGAATTTTAAGAACGCGAAATTCACTGATGTTATTTCACAAAAATGGTTTTAGTAACAATTGGCGCTTTGTGTGCTAAGTAAAAATGTTTAGCACTTAGAAACCATAACTTCTGACTTTAATTTAAGCCTTGATTCTAAATTCTAAAGTCTAATTTTAAAAATTCGAGTGAAATACTTTATAAAATCCTATAATAAGTAATTAATCTATGGTGGATTTCATCTCCGATGGCTTTAACTAAACCCTTAAATAGTTTAACCACTAATTCAGTTCTGAATTATAATGGGAATCTTTGTTTTCTAATTTAGAAATGTACATAAAGTAGCTGCGTACGTAAAACATATATAAAATGTGTAAAAATCGTTTACTGTGCATTCATTGACTGAAATATCAAACATGAATTCAACTCCATCCGTAACGCCTTCATCATCTGAGAAATCAAGTGTATTATCTTCAAATTTAACCCAATCTTCAATAACCTCATATACCTCTGTTTCTAACTTCGAGCTCACCTCAGATGAATTTAGTGATATCAGTGATATCACTGATATCGACGATAGTGAAGAAATAGACGAAATCGATGCAGATCTATCATGCCCAGAATGTTCGCGACCCAGAACAAACGATCGATGGTGTAATTTCTGCGAATCTCAAAAATTTTCAAATAATTTTATTAATTGGACAAGCGGAAATTCATATTTAGACAAAATCATAAGAGATACTCAATTTATTGCCACAAGTAAATATGATTATTTGGTTTGGATTGATTATAGTGAGTTTGAAGATATAGAATTTTTGGCGAAAGGTGGATATGGTGAAGTTTATTATGGAATTTGGATTTATGGACCAAATAAAGTTCTAATTTATGAAGAAGAAAAATGCAAATGGAAAAAAGAAGGTATGATCTAAATAAATTCATTGAAAAGATATTGTATTAAAACAAGTCACTTAGATTATAGTTTGCGACTTTTAGCTAAAACACCAGTGGCTTTGAAACGTTTACATAACTCTGAAAATGTTACTGCAGATTTTATAGATGAAGTATTTAATTTCTGCTATCATTTGTTAGTTAATTAATATTAATATTATATATTATTAATAAATTGATATACAATATCTTATTGTTTTGTAGTTAAAGATGTATTATCGATGTCGCAATGGTCGTGTACTTCATTGTTATGGAATAACCCAGCACAAAGAATCAAACAATTACATGATGGTAATGGAATACGCCAACGGTGGAGATCTACGTCACTATTTTAAATACAATTACCGTCTATTAAGTTGGGGTCAAAAATTAAGAATTTTAAGGGATATAGCATTAGGTTTAGAAGTAATTCATTTTGCAAACTTTATACATCGAGACCTTCACAGTGGAAATTTATTGCTGCACACACTTAATGACGGTACAATGCGAGCTTCTGTGACTGATTTAGGATTATGTAGACCAATAGACAAACCTTCAACAAGTAAGGCTTTCTATGGTGTGTTACCTTACATAGCGCCAGAGATATTACGTAGAAACCATTTTTATACCAAATCTTCGGACATTTATAGTTTTGGAATTATTATGTGGGAAGTCTTAGTTGGAAAACTTCCATT